TGGGGAACAAAGGTTATACCTGAGATTGAAATTATAAAGAAATATTACATGCATTAAAGGAACTAAATCACAGTATCACTTACAGCAGAGGACGAACCTCATCTAAAAAACAGTTCCCTCATTCTCTGGTTTCAATTAGTGACACAAACATTAAAAGACAATACTATCAAAATTATTTAAGAAATATTAACTCCACAGAGCAAGACAACATCAGGAACTGAAAAAATATATTAACTACACACAAAAATATTATCCCTATTATTAAGAAGTTACTGAGTCCACCAATACCCGTGAACCATGCTTCCTAACCTAACACATAGATTCCACCTGCACTCTGTAGTTTTTTAAGGCGCAACCAACAGGCACCAGTAGTTTAAGGCCCAACCAGCCTTTCTCCACCTTGGAAAATGTACCTCTAAGTTCCACTAGACTCCTGGCCCCAGTGTGTAGCCCTGTATTCACTCAGCTGGCTTCACTTTACCCCCAGTACATCCATGTAACGGAAGGGAGTGAGCCAATCAGACCTTGTACAGTTGAGAGAAGCTTTAGCTTCCCGTTAGTAGAAGGTTTTCACTAAGCTGCTTGAAGATTTGTGGTATTGTGAGCCGAGGTAGAGGAGAGCTGATGACCCCAAACGATCGTCACGTCGTTAGTTGGGCACCCAGACAGCTGGTTTCACTCCAACTCTCACCATACTCAACAGGTGGTTCAAACCCAGGTCAGTGGACGGTCATACAGCTCGCTTCACCACTCGTTTCATACCGCCAGTGGACGTTATCATACCGCGTGGGGTCTACAGAACCCTGAAAAAACCCGAGCTGTTAGCTATTGTCTCACATCACTGTTTGTTCCTACAGCCCTATCAAGTTTTGCCTGAGATTGAATAAAACTTACTTGTTAATACTGATGTTAAATAAACGAAGGAATCAGTTCACGCGGTCTGTCTCTCCTGCGTACAGAACAGAGATGGTCCTCTAGCTTGACCTCTCTCACAACTCCCCAAGCCACGTTTGCTCACTGGTTCACGCTTTTCAGGAGTGACTTATTTACCAGACGATTAACAGCTTAGTTAGGATGTACTCAGCATTTTCAGACTGGGAAACGATCTATAATTATTTTCAATTTAATAACCGATATTTAATTTTATGATTCGCGTTCTTATTAACTTGGTAAATTACATTTAATATCTTATAGGCCTAGTTCCAGAAAAACTCACTACGTGCGGGAGCGCTGCCTTCCCTCAGACGACCTTGAAACTCAGTATCGCCAATGGTGCGGCATTTGAAATTACACTGAAATTTCTGAATATTACAATCGACCCCCCTAAAAAAAGACAGCACTTGTTCTAAATACTGCATCTCACCCCTGTAACGTGCTAAACGCAGCATTCCCGTCTTTTCTTCTCCCCTTCTCTCTCCCGCTAACACTCGACCCCCAAAAAAGACAGCACTGTCCTCATGTGCTGAGAGAACAACTAAGAAACCACCTTCAAATCTGCTCCATTCCAACTCGCAGCCAGCAACTCCATTTCTTGCCTAATCCAAATTAAAACCAACCAGAACAAACATGCTCCCCTTTTACCAATGTCAAAATTAATACCAAATCTACATCCTGCATACTCTCCTTTGGCCTGGCCCTTGCACTAGAGAACCAATGTCAAAAACAATACACAGTCCAAAACAAACATGCTCTCCTTTGGCCTGGCCCCTGCAATAGAGAACCAATGTCAAAAACAATACTCAGTCCAAATCAAACATGCTCTCCTTTTGCCTGGCCCTTGAACTAAGAGGAACCAGTGTCAAAACAATACTCAGTCCAAACGAACGCTCTCACGTCTTCAACGATCGACTCAATCCACGCCTCCGAACCTCATGCCGGCAGACTAGCCCTCTGAACATGTACCAGTCCATATTAGTGAGGCCCTGGCCATTACAATCGTACACTCAATCCCGCTCATGACAGCAACTCAATCCCGCTCATGACAACAACCACTACTCAACACACATCTCTGACCTAACCATCTCTCCAATCCCCTCTGCCCGACTCACGACTCCTCCAACTCATCCTCGACAACCTGCATTTTCTCATTTACCTGCACCTCTCTGAACTACTTCTCTTCTGCCACCCCACACCTTCCGCAACTGGCTATGTAGTCCCGCACTGTTTCTCCCATGTCTGGCCAAAACCCTCGCTCCTGCACCAGCGACAGAGTACCATCTCGCCCCTGATGTCCAACCTCGCCTTGGCAGGCTCTAATCAAAGCTTCCTGCAAGTTTGGAGAAAACATTGGCACCTCCCTCCATAGATTCTTTCCTTCGGGTTTTCAATGCCAGACAACCTCTTCTCTTACGATCAAGGAATTCCTAGCTCGGTACATCTTGCGGAAGTCATCATTTTGGAGCTCTACCTGTACCTCGTCCTCCGGCAGCTCTCCCGCCACTCATCTTCGCATTTTTGTAACATGGTTCATGCCTTCTTGCTCCCTACGTAGCCCATCCATTGTCCACAGTTCCTTCCTTCCTGCCCCGTTCTCCTCTACTACGTGCATAGCTTTATACTCTTCTTCGCTATCTTCCTCCTGTTCCGTCGGGATTCTAGATAGAGTATCCGCCACAATGTTGTTTTTCCCCGGCTTGTACTCTATTGTAAAGTTAAACTGCTCGAGATCCGCATTCTACCTACTTTCCACGGCACCTAGCTTAGCCTTCTCTCGGTGACTGAGTGGGTTGTTATCTGTATAGACCGTGAAATGCTTCCCCGCCAAATAATCCCTGAATTTATCTACTAATGCCCACCTGAGTGCTAACATCTATAACTTACGAGAATTATAGTTGTTCATGTTACGTTCTGATTTCCTCAGGCCCCGACTTGCAAAGCACACCGGATGAAACCTGCCGTCCTTCTGCTGGGACAGCACCGCACTTAGCCTACTAAAACTTGCATCTGTCTCTAATATAAACTCCTGAGTGAAATCTGGGCAAGCCAATACCGGTGTCTGCGTCACCCTGTCTTTCAGTTTCTCAAAAGCCTGCTGCTGTTCCTCTCCCCACTCACTATCTACCCGATCCTTAGATTTCCCATGCATCAACGCATGCAGTGGAGCAGCTATTTGGGCAAACCCTTTAACAAATTTCCTATAAAATGATGTGAACCCTACAAAAGACCGCACATCTTTCACCGTCTGAGGGACTGGCCAATCTCTTACTACCCTAATTTTCTTAGGATCAGCTGTGAAGCCTTCAGCTGACATCCTGCAAAATAATTCCCTCAATCTGACTATATGCTGATCTATTGTACTTGAAAACACCATCACATCATCAAGGTATACAAGCAAAGAGGAGAAAATCTTATCCCCTAAAGTCCGCTTCATGTATTTCTGAAAGGTTCCCGGGCTATTTGACAATCCCATAGGCAGTCGCCTGTATTCAAAGTGTCTGAAGCTTGTGCTGAAGGCAGTCTTTGGACGGTCTGAAGGTTTTACTTCTATCTGGTGATTTCCCGCTGCCAGATCAAACGTTGAGAAAAACTGGGCCCTCGTCAGAGATTCTAGAGTTTCATTTATCCTAAGCAGAGGAAACGCATCGCGTACCGTAACCTTATTTAAGTCACGAAAGTCAATGCACAACCTCAGCGTCCCGTCCTTTTTCCTCACTACTAGAATGGCGGCAGAGTACAGACTCTCACTATGCTGAATTACTCCCTGATCTAACAGCTGGCTAATGCGCTGCTTCACCTCTGGTACCTGGTTTGGAGGGATCCTCCGGTATGGCACCCTAACTGGCCTGTCTGTAGTCACTGGGATCTCATGCTGAACCCCAATAGCCTTTCCTATGGGCTGGCCTTCCCCTTCAGAAATATCATAAAAACTCTTCTATTAAACCCCTAACTGCACGTTCTTGTTCCTCATTCATTTTCTCAGTGTGTACTTTGACCTCCGTACGGGCATCCGGTTGAACTGTCCTCACATACACCTCACTGATGTCTGCCTCGACTTCCGTCCCAGAAGTCACTTTCCCAATCCGCCAATTGCCCCTCAAGTTCCTACGACGATCAGACAGATTTGCCACCAACACCTGGGTCATGCCTCTCACCACTCTTACAGCTGTCGGCAACACTATCACACCCTCAGGCATCCAACCTTCATCCTCCATTGTTAGAGGTTCAATCACTACTTCTTTGTTAGCTACCTGGCTTAATGAGGGAACACATACTGACAGCAACCGAGTACTCCGGGGAGGGATGGTTGGGCTTTTCTTCCTCTCCGTCGTACAATACCCCAGGCTGATGGCCTCTATTGCACATAACTACCTAACCTCATGCAAGCAATTTTCCGGCGTTTTTCAGCTGTTTTGCCTCTCTCAAAATACTGTCCCTCTTCCTCTGGTTTTCTACCGTTACATGAATCGGTATCTTATTGTGTTCGTTGGGCTGGCCCAGCCGACTCACCTCCCAATTCATTAGGAACATCGAGAGTGGACCGTCAGAAGGTGGCAGCACATATTCTAAGGTGATTGGACTATGCAAAAAAAGGGTGGACAACTGAGAACAAAATGAAGTCGCTTCGACGGCCGACGCCTGTGAGGAAGCTGTCACGGGGACAGAGACAGCTTTAAGGGTGCTGAACAAGCAGGCGAAGGATCAAACTGCGGCTATCTTGAAATAATTCAAGGTTGAAAAAGAGAAATTGAGAAAAGGGACAGCCGGAATACAGAGCCAACAAAATGTAGTACTCCAAGACGCCAGATCGTGATCGACTACTGATTCCACCAGCAGTCCAGGAAGAGCACGGGAAAAGCAAAGCTTACCACAAATGACCTTGTCTAACGAAGTGAACGATAATGAACAGGGCAGTCACCATCGGATTGAAGGTTTAAATGACAGTAGTCGTCAAGGGTCATTAGGCTCGACCAGGGAGTGCCTAAGTCACCTCAACAGGGGGAGCCTTGACACTACGGGTTCACTTCGTCCAACACGATGACTCGACAATCGCAAGTACTGGCATGGGACACTCGGGAGGGCCATCCTGTATTGAAGGACAAGCTGAACCATGGAATCCAAATTTGACGGAGCTGACAGCCACATATCATTGGCCACAAAACCGTCACCCAACTTGTACGGGGCTTCAATTCCCTATCCCAACGTTTACAGGACGGAGCCGAACCAAATACTGGGACTTTATTCACGCGTTCAATCGGTACTTATGCAACACATCGATGCCGGAATTGCACAAACAACATACTCTCTTACAAGCCTGCACCGGTGAAGACTTGAAGATGGCATTGGAATCCTGTGAAAGATTGGGGCCTGAAAGAGGCTACGAGAGAGTGTTGGCCCTACTCACAGAGAGGTTCAGGATTGAAAGGGCATACGCGGAGGAATGGATAATGGCTCTACAGGAGAGACCACCCATAAGCACTGGCGATGGAAACGGACTGAGGAAGCTGGCAGATGCATTGTGGGGCTGTATAAGTTACCTAGAGAATTGGGACATGTTAAGTAAGCTGGAATCGTGGACCTGCATTCGAAATATAGTAGTGAGGCTGCCAGGTACTCTACAAGAACAGTGTGCAGACAAATCACACTCGTATAACGAAAACCATGGATCGTATCCTGGGATCCGTTGGCTAAGAGAATTCGTGCAGAAACAAGTGGGCAGGACACATAGCACACTCTTCAAGGGCAGAGGCGAGCAGTAATGAGAGGAGGAAGGGACAACCTCCCAAACCTTACCAGGACAGGTCGGCAAGCAGACAAGCCATAAGTCTAGCAGTTACCACCGACAGAAGAACGGCTGTAAAGACTGAAGGCGTATATGAAACGTATCCCCTTTGCTCAGGGCCTCACAGCTTACCCATGTGTAAGGAGTTTCGAAACTTGGACATACCTGCGCGACGTGAAACTGCAAGAAATCTACTTGGTTGTTACCTGTGTCTGAAAAATACTCACTTGGTGCACGAGTGTAAGACTGAGCCTCGGTGTTGTGGTGTTGTGTCGCTTCCTTTTAATTGTTTGCTTCCATTAATTGTTTGACTCCATTAACTGTTTACTACATTAAGTGTTTGACTCCCGTAATTGTTATTTAATGTTTGTTGAGTGGTGTTAGAGTTTTGTTATATTTTTTATAGTAAAGAGATATCCATCTCAAACGGTTGTTTGTTATTCCTCAGAAAACCATGGTCCTTGACTTTCCTTTATTAAGATCCTGATTAGTCTGGTAAGGGATTTCTATCCATAAGTCCCAGGCCCTTACAGTGGACTAATCAGAGTAGATGGGCAAATTAAGTCCCAGGCCCTTTACAAGTGGCGACCTTGCCAGGATTGTCTCTGACCTTTGGTTTCTGAGGGCTAACATTCGTTCCGGTGTTTGTTGTAAGTCGCCGTGTGCGTGCCGCTTGCTGTCTGTGGCCCGGAAGTAAGTGTTGTTCATTGATTATCCCTTCCTTCTGTGTGCTAATATTGTGGCTCTCCCTTGTACTTGGGGAAGTTAATTAGTGTTGGTTGGGGTGTACTGTGGATGCTGTCATAGCGTTTTTGTTGTTGTTTCACCTGGTGCGTTTTTTTCCCCTGAAGTGATTCAGCTGGGCTGGGTACGGAACAAGGTTCCCTCCAGTCGGATCAAATCATTTATTGGTTTGATTGAGCCACTAGGTAAGTTACCTTTGGCTATTTGCGGGGTAAGTTGTGTATTTTTCTTCTTGCTCTTGGCCTTTCGGATCATTATTGCATAGATATGTAAATACCAAGATATGTGAACACGCCTGACGGCAAGACTCTGTTACCATTCATTGCACCATTTATTCACATGTCTGTATTACTACATATTATTATAGCATATCTGATATCTATGCTTATGTCTAATGCCTATGTTCACTTACTATGTCCCGATGTACTATGTCTGTACTGCGGTAGTCAAGTAACTAGAGGACCTCATTTATTGTCCTAGTAATGTCTAGCAACTCTCCTTGCCTAGCTAGCTAACTTCCCTCAGATCGGCTTCAGCCTGGCTACGACACGGAGTCCTTTTTGCTTGTCCCTGTTGGTTATCCTGCCAAGTCTTGTACTACTTATTGAATATATCTACTGCTCGTGCATCTGGAGTTTGAAGAACCTTGTCTAGGATATACATCCCACCACATGGCGCAGTTGAGTAGCTCCAACACGACAGTTTACAAGTCTCAAGAGCCGGCCTCGTCTGTTTCCCGCCCAGAAGATGTACTCTACAGTGCCCCTGGATTTAAAGTGCTTTGTGACCTTGTGAAGTGCAGTGCCTTTGATGTCTGTTTTGCTATGTTTCTGGGGCCCTACAGGTAGCAGAAACCCTTTCAGCCCAGTTTCCAAGACAGCACTTCAGGCATACATCCTCCGTCTGCGCTGGCCCGCAAGCCACTGCCACTGTCTGCCCCCCTCGACTGAGTCATCACCGACATCTCGCCCGGGCGCGCGGAGGAATACAGAGACCAGTATCACCGCCGCCAGCCGTCTCCACCCAACTTCACAAATATTACAGTCAATACTCTTTTACTTGCCCGCCAGTTCCTGCACTTAGGCAAGTACATTGACGAAAACATAGCACTTCACCTTATTCTCCTTGTCTTTCCCATCGCAACCATACCAAACACGAGATGTCCGACTACGACGATTTGCTGGGGAATTCAAATGAGGATTATGAGGAAGACGAAGCCTCACCGACCCTCCCACCCCCCCTCACGCCTCACACGCCGGGCGCGCCAAATTCAAAGGATGGGAGCCAGGATATACGACCGTTAATTCACTTTCTACAAGTTTCCCAAGAGAAGGAAGTCCAAAGACGTCAATTAGAGGAGGAAAAACGACGTCAAGAGGAATTGTCAAGACAGTCAGAGGAATCAGCTTACCGTCTTCAACTCCAACAACAACACCAAGCTGATAACCGCAAATTCCTGGAACTATTGGAATTGCTGGCAACGAGGACGACTTCACCAGCTGCCACAACCAATTCGCCAGCTACAGCCTCTCCATCTACCCTTCAGACAACGCCTCCTCACACGTCACCTATCCCTCTTGGGTATGCCTCAGTGCCTTCTCAACCACCTGCTCCAGTCTCAACTCTCGTCGACCTCTCCGTGCCTCCTCCATTACCTGCCGTCTCGAGTACACCCCTGCACAGCAAGTCTTCAGTTTCCAGCCCCCCACCTCTTCAATCTGATGCAACATATCAAGTATACCGTCAATGGCGACGTCGTTTCGAAGACTTTGCTGTTATGTCTGACCTCAACCGAATGCCCCCTCATAAACAACTCATCCAATTAAGATCGTGCATTTCCCTCGATGTTCAACGCCTCCTAGAGCACACGCTAGCCATTCCCCCTGACTCCCCCATGTCAGTGACAGAGGTTTTAAACGCCTTGCAGAGTCATTTCCGTGGCCTCCGCAATGAAGCTTTGCGTCGTAGGGAACTGCTATCCTGCAAACAAGCTTCTGGGGAATCATTCTCAGACTTCTACGCACGACTTAAGGACCTAGCAGCCGAGGTGGACCTATGTACAGGCGATCCTGTAACCTGTGCTGAGATCCAGCTCAAGATGATCTTGCTGATGGGTGTACGTAACGAGGACCTGCTTCAGAAACTCCTCACCCTCGACGCCGCCTCTTCCCTCACCGACTTCGTCACCTGTTGCAGGTCGTATGAGGCCACAAGAGAGGCTGCCTCAGCTATACACTCATCGCCGTCTCAAGTTCACGCCGCCTCCACCTACAAGAGGAATCAACGCCAGATGCAGACGGCGTCCTCTCCACAGCCCCCGTCACAGTCACCAGTTTCTTCTCCCAAATCCTGCAGAAACTGTCAGCGCCAGCACGGTACAGGAAAGTGCCCTGCGGATGATTGTAAATGTCGAAACTGCGTTTTCAAGGCCATTGGCCCCGCACAACTCGATGTCCTGCCAACAAGGTCTCATGCAACGCTTGCAACAAGCAAGGACACTTCGCCAAGTGTTGCAGGTCCACCAAGAAGCCTCCATCTCCAGGTCAAAACGTCTCTTCACAGCCCGACAGAACGTCCACACCACCGTCTCCCAAGAACAACAAAGGATGCCGACGCGTGGATGATGCCTCTAGTGACAGGTCCCCCAAGCCCGTCAATGTTCGTCTGTCCTACGGTGCCAACTCTTCCAACCTCCTGATGATACCTGACACGGGCGCGGGCATCACGGTGATTGGACCAACACACCTGGACGCCCTCAACATTCCCAGGAGTAACCTGTCACCCACAGCCATGAACGACGTGCTCACAGCGGACGGGTCCCCGATGTCTCCAGCTTTGGGTTGCTTCAAGGCAACATTGCAGCTCGGTCCCAAGTCTTGCCTTGCCACAGTCCACGTCCATGAGGGCATCCAAACCCCTCTCTTGTCATGTGGCCATTGTCAGGACTTGGCCATCGTCTCATCCGAGTTCCCAAAGCCCATCCTCGCCGTGACACACCTCAACAGGTGTGCAGAGATACCTGTTTCAGCCATGACCACACTTGCTGCCGCCCGGGAGTTTTTTCTTCGTCAGTTCAGCGACGTCCTTGTCTCCAAGTCCGACCTCCAGAAGACGCCGCTCAAGAAGATGACAGGCCCCCCGATGAGAATCCACCTCAAGCCTGGCGCGACCCCTTTCGCCACCCACACACCCAGACCTATCCCCTTTGCCCTATGGGACAAGGTGAAGGCGGAGCTCGATTCTCTGGTGCAGCAGGGGATCATCAGACACGCCGGTGAGGAGCCCTCCGAGTGGTGTCACCCTATGGTCTTGGCACCCAAGCCTGTAGGTGTTCGCATCACAGTGGACCTCACCCATCTCAACTCGCAGGTCTCCCGTCCCGCCCATCCATCGCCTACGCCCATTCAAGCAGTCCGCAGCGTCACCCCGTCTGCAAAGTTCTTTACCACGGCGGATGCACTACATGGGTACTGGCAAGTCGACCTGGCGGAAGAAGATCGCCACCTCACTACATTCATCACGTCCCACGGCCGCTTCCAACACTGCCGCGGACCCATGGGCTTCGCAGCAACGGGGGATGCGTACTGCCTCCGTGGGGATATGGCTCTGCAGGGTGTCACCAACTGCGTGAAGGTCGTAGATGACATCCTGCTCTTCGACGATGATCTCCCGGCCCACTTGAACCGAGTTCATCTGATGCTCACAAGATGTCGTGCCCATGGTATCACCATGAACAAAGATAAATTTGTGGTCGCCGCCTCCCAAGTTAACTACTGCGGCTACAACATCTCGCCAGAGGGGATCTCAGCTGATGAGGAGAAGGTCAAGGCCATCAGGGACTTCCCTACTCCAGCGAACCTGACCGACCTTCGCTCGTTTATGGGCCTGGTAAATCAGCTGGCCGACTTCTCCCCTAAAATCGCCACATCAGCCCAACCTCTACGCCCCCTCATGAGCCCCAAGCGCTCTTTCCTCTGGACTCCTGACCACGACCTAGCGTTCAGGAATGTTAAGAAGGCGTTGCTGTCACCACCAGTCTTGGCACCCTTCGACCCGTCCTTACCAGTGGTCCTCCAGACCGACGCCTCCCGTCTATACGGCCTCGGATATGCCCTCCTTCAAGATCACGGCCAGGGTAAACTGCGCTTAGTTCAGTGTGGCTCCAGGTTTTTGACCGACACGGAGACCAGATACGCCACCATCGAACTAGAGATGCTGGCAGTCGCCTGGGCT